TGTTTCTCCCTTCCGTCATTGTGGTTGTTCTGCTGTTGGTAAGGATGGGAAGGAAATTTGGAGTGCTAAAGGAGAAAAAAAAATCTGGCTATAAGAAATCCTCCATCGAAGTGTCTGATGAGTAAGTTCTGGCTGGAACCTGAAGCTTCTATTTCTACTTTGGTAGGCCAAAGGACAGTTCCTCTACTGTTCTTCATCTTGTAGCTCTCAGCGTTTGCAGTTCAGTCACTGAAATCTACTTCTCCGTGAGCATAATTTAGCTAGCGGTCAGAAAGCTTTGGAAAATTCTGGTGCTGGAACACAAACCAAGTGCTGTACATCCTCCTTTTTCTGTCATTCGTGTGAGCCTGTGGAACTGAAGCAGTTTAGGGTTAGAGAGTCTTTCACTTCTGTAATTGTATTTATTTCAGCCTAGATCAGCAAGATGTTTTGCTTATGTGGGCTTTATGCATTGCATTTTGGTATGAAGTACCCATAACAACAAAATGAACTGAATAATGCTAACCAGTTCCCCTGTGATGGCCTGAGCAGAGATGCCAGGTACTGAATGAGCCTCGGAGGCTGAATTCCCTTCTGAACTGGGGAGGATTCTGTTCTGGAAAGGTTCAGTAGTGAGAACAGTAAGGTAACACTGCCACTGCTGGAGCTGCGCCTGTTTTTGCAAAGAATTCAGTACTACAATTTCTTGTGGAATGGGTTTCTAATACAATGTTCTGATTAGTGTTGTAAGATTTGCCAGCCAAGTAGCAACTCCTGTTGTATTCTTCATGGCACTTAAGTGAAATTTCTGCCTTCAGAATAAGGGACCTGAGATTTTTTATTCTTTTTGGTTCTGCTGTGCAGAGTCAAAGGCTTTTCATCGTGATGAAAAGCCTTCAATTCAGGGTGGTAGAACTAGAATTAACAGCCCATAGGAGACATTAGTATGTGCGTTGGGGGAAAAGTCCAGCCTAATCCTATGGTTTTTCTGCAGGCCTGAACACACAGAGACAGACGACTGCTTGGGAAAACTCAGAAACTGGTGCCTGAACTGTGTGGTAAGTGAAAGCTGGTGTTTTCGTAAGTGGTTTTGTCAACTTTGGTGCTCAGAAGAGGTGCTAAGAGCAGCAGCAGGTAGAGCTTGTCATAACACCTCTGGATGGCAAAGAAGTGTCCCAAACAGCTAGGCTTATGCTCCTTGGCGTTGTCCAGCTATGGGCTATAGGGGGTGAGAACTGCTGGTCATAGTGCTTTACTGGTAGGGGAAGTTGTCTTGAGATCCACCAAACTGATTTTTCATTTGACTTTATTGAAATCAAAGCTGGCATTTTAAGATGAAAATTCAGAACTTTTAAGTGCTAGCTGCTGTGCTGTGCAGTTGCTTTAAAGGCTCTGCAAAACCAGTTTGGGGTTTGACAGTGCTATGGTGGGGAATGGAGGCTGTGATACCTCAGTCTATGTTTCTTGCAAAGGTGGTAGTGTGCAGCCTTGCCTCTTTTTTGGAGACCTTCCTACTTACACTGTTTTTGTCACGGCATAATCCTGCTAAACTCTTGTGGTTTGTTTGTTTGTGGCTTTTTGTTTTGTTTTGTGAAGTGGTGGTTGTCTCCTAATTCTGCTTGTTCACTTGCTACCCTATTAGCAAGCTTCTCTTCATCAGATGTGTCGTGCTGGAACTACCAAGTGTTTTTGCCACTTAGCAGGTGGTTTTGTAAAATGTGCTTTTAAGTTCTGTGTGCTGGCGTTAGCAGCCACAGGGTAACTGTGGCACGTTCCAGAGTAAGCTCACTAAGATGCCTAATTTCAGAGTGTTTTCATTTTTATCCTCACGTCTTACAGAGTAACTTACCTTGGACGCACCTTTATATGTTTTCTACACGGTCAGGAAGTGTGTTAAGGAGGATTTAAATCAAGTGTTGCTTGATTCACTGTTCTAATGTCAGTGATCGAAAATGTACTAAATGCATGAGCCTTCGGACAGGTGTGTGCTGATGGCTTCTGTGCTTGATGAGATACAGAACGAAAAACGAGTAGCTATGCAAGTTACATATGAAATATGTACAACTCTACATAAGACACGGCAGTATCAGGAGGAAGAGTTTTGAGAGGTGCAGAAAGCCAAAAATGCTTTATGGAAAAGAGAGGGTTGCCATGGGAGATGGAAAGGCTGTTGCAAGTGACGTGCTGGGGAGCAGGGAGGCACCGTTGCTTTACTGCGGGTGGAGAGATGGGAAAGGATGGGAGCCCAGTTCAGTGAGAGGAATGCTGTCAGGCAGTTGGAGACTTTAAAAATTGAAAAATGCCTTCTCATCCTTTGAGAGAAGGCAAATTTGAATGCTATAATCCTGCTGCTTTTACGTATTTTGTCACGTTTGATACTTTGCTCTCTGATATCAAAATATTTAGCTTACCAAGTCTCTGAACATCCTGTCTCACTCACTTTAATGATTCTACGTTTTTAAGGTTTCTGTGAGGTACTTTTTCATGCTTAATACGTTGCCAAATAATTAAAACTGCAAAGCCAGTGAAAATCTGTTTGGACTTCAAATGGCTGGAAAGTCACTGAGATTTCCCTTGTAGAGCTGTTACGTTCGAATTTCTTTCAAGTTGAGAGCTGCAGGGCTGGATTGTGGGGACGCCATCAAATTATTATTGTGGTTAAAACTATAGACGATTGCTATCTGAAAGTGTGTGGTTGGTTGTAGCTGAAAAACAACAACTTGTGCTGCTCCGGACCTTCTCTGTAGGGATTGGTGGTGCTTTTTAAGAAGATGGCTGGCTGCACTTTATGGTTTGTCTTTTGCTTGAGCTTTAGCTGCTACTTCTCTTAAAATGCACTTCACGTGTTGGTTGTACAGTGGCAATTTGTCTGTGTATCTGTGATCAGTCAAACGGCTTTAGCTGCCAGTGCTTACATGACTACGAGTCCGATGGCTTATTCAGGCACAGCAGCATTTTGGGCAGCATTTAAGCTCTTGTGGGAAGCCTAGCAGACTCAACGTTTTATTGAACTCCTAACTTGGTTCATGTCTTCATACATGGTCTCAATCTCTCTCTCCATACTCCCTGTTTAGGACACGGATGAGGAAGACCCATACTGATGAAAGACTAAAGCTATGGATAAAGATCAAAATTACAGCACTGAAAATCATGGCTAGATAGGTATGAAGGCTGCTGGATAACCAGTGCAGATTGAAGGACCTGCTCTAATCTTGGTAGATTGGAAGAATAATGCCGATGGGATAATTCACTTTTATTTAAGCGCAAAATAACGATTTTGGAAATCTTTCTAACTTATCAGGGGAAACCCCAAAACCTCTTAACCTCACTTCTCCCAGTGCCTACAGAAACCTCAGTGCCTACAGCTGTACAACCTGTTTCCTACCAGCAGTCTGACAACGCGTGTTTCTTAGTTTACTCGCAGATTTGTTTCCTTTATTATTGGTGACATCCCTCCTTTCCATGTTCTTGAATTCAAATTGCCTGAAGCACAAGATACTCCAGAGCTCTCTAAGGGGATCATCACTGGGCTATGACAACGGTTGCTTCTATTTTTTTTTTTTTTTTAATTAATTTGCTAAGGACTTGAAACAGTTTGATTAAGTTGGTATATGGATCCTTTGTCTTGGAGCGAAGAGAACCTACTGCCTGGTTTAATCTGCCACATAACTACAGGATCACTGCTTTGTTCCTACTGTTTTCTGATTCTCTTTTGAAGTCACCAACTGCACAGTAGTGTTACCTTACATTGTTGAGTTTTATCTTTCCTTTTTTTTTTTTTTTTTAATTACTTGTCCAGCAGCTGCATTACTAGGTATATCTCCTTCTACTTGTAGAGGTGAAGCACAATTCCTATAAACCCAATTTTTTTAAGTCAGAAATGCAAATGGGGACTCTGTGTCTGGGGAAACATAACCCCATCTACCTCAACCATTGACTCGAGCACTGTCCAAAGGAATGTTCTGTGGTCAGAAGAACAGTCATGTTCCTCCTCTCTTCTTTTGCATACCATTTTAGGGACAGCTGAACATGCATTATTACTGCCCGGTAAGAGAGAGTGCTTCCTCTTTCACCAACCTTGCCCAGCAATGGATGGCAGAGAGCAGTGGAATTCATGTCTGCTCAGTACCTAAACAGCTGCTGCTTTCTGCTTCCTTTCTGTATGCGGCATTGGCCAAATAGTCACCTTTTACGTACGTGTAATAAGTTTACTGTTGACTTTTGATGTGCCATTACCAATAAATTGCTTTGTTTCCATTCTGGGCTGTGGATTTCTTTATTTGGCTAAATGTGGCTAAATCTAATCGAACTCATAAAACTGCCATCTGGAGTTGTTGCTTAACTATAGAAATTGTCGTGTGATGATGGGCAAAGGTGTTTAGGGAACAGATTTAACTCAAAAGGGAGCACGTACCGAGTGCCCCTTTAGCAGCGCTACGATGGCTGCCAATTACAGGGGTTGAAGTTCCCGACTGCAAAGCAGGTTAGCTGCAGATCTGTGTCTCCAGATAAAGAAATATATTTTTCTCCTGTCTACTATAAAGTGATGTTTAAAAAGCTTGTGCTTCCTGATGACAGAGTGTTTCTGCCAACCAGAACTTTCCGGAGCAAGGATGTTGGTGGGATATGCAGCCCAGAGGGAAGTGGCTTCTTTGTTCCACTTTGAGCAAGAAAATATCACTCAAGTTCTTTATGGAAATGAATGACTTGTTTTTTGCAAAATGTTTGCGTTCAACTGTGACTCCTTTGCAAACGGTGGGCTAGACCCTGGGCAAATCTCTGTCTGGTGCAAAGCTGAATTGCCACCTTGAAGCTAGCAGAATTCTGAATTGTGAATGGCGTTGAGCGTGAATAAGACTTAACTTTCTCTTCCTTTGTAAGGAAGTTGCTCTGTGTACCATTAAAACCACTGATAATGGGGTAGAGAAGAGGGGTTCCTGTGGTACTCTAGAGTAAGAGGAAGGATGAAAATATACTTTCAAAGTGACTGGGGGGAGGGTGCCAGCTGAAAGCAGTCCGCGATGAGTATCTTGTACGTGTTTCAAAAGGGAACAGCTGACTATGCTGCGAAACCCATGTTGAGAGCGGCCCTTTTGCCCGTAAGATGCCTGCTAAGCTTGGCCCCTGACAGCACTAGTAGTAAGGCTCGGCAGAGTTACTCGCTATCGCTTGCTGCTGGTGCCTCACCAGGACAAGATCCTGCCGGAGTGGTGGTTCTTTAACCAGCTCTGATCCCAAAAACGAACCAGGAGGGAGCACAGGCCACAGAAGGGTTGCTTGCCAAGAACCTTTCCGTTCCTGACGTCTCACATAATGACTGCTCAGAGCAGTCTGCCACGCTGGAAGGACTGGGACTGAGCCACATTTTGTACCCATGAGTGTCTTCTCGTGAAGCTGCATGCCCATCATCTGCTCCCAGGCATGTGCATCTGTAATTCTCCTCACCTCTCCGTAACAGCCCCTTCTGCATTCTCAGTTGTCAGTGCCTCAACTGAGCTCTTCACTTCCTCTTGCAAGCTGAAAGCGACCACCAAACTGAACCTGAGAGACTCGAAACCAAAGACTGGTAAGACACATGTCTTGCACGGACACCCTCAAAATGATTTAGCAGCTGATTCTTTCAGATACTCCGAATTAGTCACTGGAGAACCCTTCATGCAAGAGGCAAGGTGACTGCCCCAAGCCAAGGTGAGTATTTTTTGCCATAACACTTACTTTTGTTTGTTTTTCCTGAAAAGAGAACTGAGGGAACACAGAAGCGCTGAGGATTCAGATACCATGCGCAAAAGTAGGGAAATGTGAAGGCAGAATCTATGTGTTATTCCTCCCAATCTGTTTACTAAAGGCAATTATCCTGCAGAAGGATTTTGATATGTCGGCACCGTAACACGCAGAACAGCCTGGGTGAGTGGGTGCTGTCTTCAGCTGCTGCACACGCAGCACCCGCTTGTTGGTGCACGTCGCAGAGGGAGACCCTGCAAAAATGTGTTCCCAGGCAGGAGCAGAATTTATTCTGAGAAATAGGGTAATAAGTCCAGGAAGGATCTGATGGCAAATAAGGACCAGAGCCTCGGTAGCTCAGCTACAGAGAACTTTTGAAGTTCTGAGCATAGACACCCCAGTACACAGGCTTCTGGGGCTGAGGGCTTTTTTTTTTTTTTTTTTTTTTTTTTAACCTGGCTTCTATTTTGAGTCCTGCATGGGGGTGGTCCTGGGAGGGCGTAGCTCTGCTTTTGGCAGTGTTGCTGGGAAGTAGGATGCTTGGGCCTGCTGCACTGAGATAGGCTGCACCAGCTGAGAGCTTTGGAGCTGAGCATCAATTTTGCTTTTGTAGGTCGTGTGTGCACAAGCGCGGGTTGTGCAGCAAACTGTGTCATGGCAGAGCTGCAAAGAGCACGCTCAGCCTGCACAGCTCTCCCCTCCGCCTCCAAAAACCCAACCCCCAAGCGGGTCATGTTGTTTGAAAGGCAGGTTTGAGAGCATTACAGAAGGCTTGCTGCCACTTTTCAGGAGCTTGTTTGTGGAAAGGGGAGGGCGATGAAGGGCAGAGATGGTTTTACATCACTGACCGCAGGCAGAAGCGCCAGGCGCTCACTGGAAAGCTGTAGTGCTTGTTTCTCAGCCTAGAACAGACCCGTGGGTCCCCCAGCACCTAATCCTGTAATCCCTGTCCCAGCCTGTCTCGGGATGCTTCTGAGCTTCCCTTGCTGAGAAACATGCGTTTGGAAAGAAAAAGGAATTGGCAGACGTGTCTGGCCATGTAAAGAGGTGGAAGCTTTCTTACAGGGGACGAGCTGTGGTGGGGAGGAGGCCTGTAAGGGAGGAGGAGGGAGCCGATCCTGCCGTTCCGCGGTGTGTGCATGGAGCTGGCGCATCCCCTGTCGCCTCCCTGCTGCTCACGCCGTCCCTTTGCACGTGGCGTTACTGTCACCATCGCTTCTGCCTGGAGCGCCAAGGACACGGGCGCTGCCCCAGGAAACTTGGTAGCCCAAGAGCACGGATCTGTCGCCGTGGCTTCCTGCTCCACAGCACTGAAGGGAGCAGTGGATCCCCAAGAGCGACAGGAATAATGGCAGATGTTTACCTTGCCTGTTTGCTCTAACTGTGTCCGTGGCTGTTTCTTGTGGAGAAATACCTGGGACCTTTTCCCCTTCCGAGCCTTGCTGAAGCTGGCCTAGAGGTCCTCTAGCTTGCACAACTGAGGAAAAGTGGGAGAAGCTAGCAAGTTTTCAGAGATGACTCGGTTCTTGTCTTTCTATTTCTGCAGCAAAAATGCCTATATTGGAAAATGTGTGCTGGTAATGGCAGCCTCAAATTCAACTGTCACGTGCAGGTTCTCCAAGCCGGGGGGGCTTCTCTCAATAACTTTTTGCCCTTAAATATGTTTATCGGTTTTGAACGGGCATAGCTTTGAATCATGGAGCAGAGACAACAGCAAGCAGCGTGCTGGCTTTTGCCTTCCTTTGATCCACGTGTGAACACTGGCTGGGGTATTCCTGATGACAACAGCCAGTCCTTCCTTGGGCTGCAGGGTATTTCTACATCATGTAGAAAGGAGACATGGTTTTATTTTGAGAGATGGGCAGCAGGTCAAACTGAATACAGTGACCAAACGCGGCACTGTCTGAACAGACCCTGGGGGGTTCCTGAAGTTCTCACCACGTGCAGCACTCTGGAGCAGGGGGGTTATTTCTAGAGTAAAGGGCTCTGTGTTTTTAGGACCTGTATCCAAACTTCTCTGAGTATGTAGTAGAAAAAGCGTCCCATTGCTTTCTGAGCAAAGTTAGCATCTATGAACACTTCAGCTCGGGTGCTAGAGACTCGACCCCCAAACCACCGGAAAGATTCATTACTTAGGGGAAAATGCAAAGGTCTTTCAGGCTGAGCCCTCCCCCCCTGCTCTCTCTTCCTTTCCAGGGCTCAGAGCAGCCTCAAAACAGAGCCGTATCTGACATCTGTGCTTCACCGAGTTCCAGCTCCCAGCTGGGATAGTGGCTGACTCGAGAGGCTGAACATCCAGGCAGCAAAGACTGTGCCCCCTCTGAAGGACTGAAGGAAGCCCTTTTCTGACCTTGGGGCTCGGTTTGGTTGCAGGTTGTTGGTGTCCTGCCCCAGGAAAACCGATGCACGCGCCACCTCTGCTGTTCTTTTTAGAATAAGATGAAGGTGTTGCTGAGCCTGACTCTGGTGCTGACATGGCTGGGTAAGCTGTAAGTCATTACGGTGCTTTTGTTTACCTTGCCTGCTTTCCCCTCTGCCTTTGCTGAAAGACCCGTTGGCTTCTCTCTTCCTGCCCTGAGAAGCCCTTGGGGATCTGCAGGCGCACGGCGCTGGCAGCGGTGAGCGGGCTCCTGGGTACCAGTAACTCCTCTGGTCTCTGGGTGCTGCATATTGCATATATGGGCTTCAGATTGCAACGGCGTGGCTGGATGGTCACCTATATTTATTCTGCCAGACTCCAAGGCTTTGAAAGAAGAAGAACTGCTTTGCCAAGTCTAAATACAGGGAAAGGTTTCCAAGGTATTGATTTTGGCTCTGCTCGAGGCAACTGGCTCCTTTGGTCTTCTCCACTGGCAAATATTTGTCATTTTCAGCTCCCCAACTGGTCAAGACCAAAAGAAACCTGTTTGGGAGGCTGTAGCACTTTGCATTTATTATTTACAGGGCATCAGACGAGTACTTGGTGCTTCGCCAGGGCCCAGCCCTTGGTGGCTTGTGGACAGAGTGAGCAGAGGGCTAAGACGCCAGGAAAAGTCTCCCTGTCTGAGCAGCTCCCCACTGAATCAGCTCGCCTGCTCCTTGACAAACAAGTGCCGGAGCCTCAGCCGCTCTTCTTGCTGGGTTTGGCCAGCGCAGGCTCTGGGGCTTGCAGGGCTTCTCTTGCCAAGCTCCAGGGACATTTTCTGCCCCACTTGTTTGCCCTCCCTGCCACCCGCTTTGCAGCCTGCCATGTCGGCAGCGGCTTCATGCTGGTTATGTCGGCTCTGTGCTCTTTGATGTTCCTCTGTGTTCTTGTTGGTTTTTTTCCACTGTCCGTCTTCTCTAGAAACCCTAGGCAGTAGTTATGTGGCCAGACAAGTGCGAGCCAGGTCAGGAGCCTGTGAGCAAGGGCTAAGGAAGCCAAATGGGCAGGTTGTGAAAGAGGAACTGAAATTCGTGCGAAGCGATTGAATTGCCCCCGGCCTGGTGTAGATGAGAGTGGCACTGGTTCTCCCAGCCAGTGACTCACGGGAACAGCCCTGCAGCCAACCTTAGGCTCAGAGGCGCAGAGGGCTGGGGTTGTGCTTCCCCACTTCCCTTCTGCGTGGCTTGTTCGGCGAGCGCCACAGCCCTTGCTCCGGCGGCTGGGAGGATGTGCTGCCCCGCATCCCGGGCTCGCCAAAAGCAGGGGGCAGGCAGAGGCTTTGCCCGCACAGGGAGCAGGGCATCCCCGTTGCGCTCTGGACCGGTCAGTGCCGTTAGCCCCAGGCTTATCTGGAGAGGAGATATCTATGGGGACAGGCAGGCTGCATCTGGCCGTCCTCCCTGGACTCATCCTGCTGTCCTTGTCCCTGGCAGAGCGATGCAGCGGGTCGGCTGGCTGGGGGGTCACGGG